TGAAGAAGGGTCTAGGCCCGAAATGTCAGCCTTCCTGCTCCTCTGATGCTGCTTGGCCTGCTGTGTTCATCCAACTCTACACCTTGTTATATCAGCCAATCCTCTTATCCATGCTAATACCTTGCCCCTAACAGGATGGGCTCTTATTTAGCAGCCTCCTGTGTGGCACCATCAAAGCCATCTGGAAATCCAAATAGATCAAGTCCTCTGGCTCACCTTTGTCTAAGTTTCGCATTCCTTCAAAGACTTCTAATAGATCTGTCAGGCGTGACCTCCCCTTGACAAGCCATGCTGATCCAGTCCTACTTTACCGTGCACTTCCATGTACTCCACAATTGCATCCTTAATAATGGACTCTAAAATCTTATTATTGACTGTGGTCGATAATTTCTTGTCTCTGCCTCCCTCTATTAAGTAGGGATGTTACATTGGCCATTTTCCAGTCCTCTGGGACCCTCTGTGATTCCAGTGATTCTTGGAAGATCACCATCAATTCCTCCAGAATCTCTTCAGCTATCTCCTTCAGAACCTTGGCTTGTAGTCCATCGTTAGTAGTTAAGGGGGAATTGTTTGGTTTGTTAGTACTTGTATTAATTTGTTGACTGTTAGGGTTAAATAAACAAATTGTTACTTGTTGCTTATAAAGTTAATATCAGGGATTTTCTTTCATTTAACCATTCTTTTTTAACAGATTAGGTGAGGTGAGGTGAGTTTCTCTGGGTGTTTCAGGGTTAATTATTAGAAGGGGACCTCTACGCCTTCTGTACCAAATTGGGGGTTTGTGTTTTGATATTAATTATCAGAGGGGTGCGACCTCCCCGTCCTAATGGATTGGGCTCAAGTCCAGGATCTGGCCAGTTCGTGTATGGGATCAAAATGGATTTGGACAGATTTGAACAGATTTGGGGTTTTGTGTCCTAGATCTTTAAATAAAACCAAAGTGAGAAGTGGAAAATCTGTTTAATTTTGGTTACTTGTGGTTGGTTAAATCATAAGTGGGGGAAATGGCTCTTAATATTGCTAAAGAGGTTCTGGGGTTTGAGGGTGCTTCCCAAATTTGCCAAGAAAGTTTAGAAAGACAGAAGAAGGATATACTTTTAGACTTAATGAATAGGTTAAATTTGGGTTAAACTAGGGACTAGAGGAAAGCTGTAATTGTAAAGGAGATAGTCAAGTATTTAAGCATACCAGAGAAACAGGCAAGTGCAGTGCAATTAGAAAATATTAAATTGCAAATTAGACAAATGGAGTTAGAAGATAAAGAAAGAGACAGAAGGTTCTTAGCTGAGCAAAAAGAAAAAAAAGAGAGTTTGAAATTCAGAAGTTGCAAATTAAACAGGAAAGCCAATTTAAAAGGATGAAAATGAAGGTAGATGATAGGTTTAGTGAGGAGGAGAGTGATGATGAGCAAACCCATCGTAGCAAAGACATGGTAGGGATATTTATAAATTTGTCAAAACATTACCAAAATTCGATGAAAATGATATAGAAGCCTTTTTCATTTCCTTTGAGAAATGGGCTGAACAAATGAACTGGCCAGAGTCTGTGTGGATAATGTTAATTCAGACCAAGTTGTTTGGCAGGGCTAGTGAGGTGTTTCCAACGCTGTCAGATGAGGTGTCAAGAGATTATGAAGATGTCAGACAGGCTAATTTGAGTGTCTACGAATTGATACCAGAAGTATATAGACAATGTTCAGAAATGTATGGAAAAAAACCAGGTCAGACTTATGTCGAATTTGAAAGAATTAAACGTGGCAACTTCGAGAGATGGATGAGAGCATTAAAGATAGAAAAGAGATATGAGGATCTTAGAGAGATTATTCTGCTAGAGGTGTTTAAAAAATCACTTCCAGAGGTGATAAGAACTCATGTTGAGGGACAGAAAATCCTAACAGCAAGAAGAGCTGCAGAGACATTGGATGAATATGCATTGGTGCATAAATCGAAATCTAGCTTCCAACAGCAATTTCATTCCATGAGGGATAGAAATTGGGAAAGAGGGAGATCCTTCATTGAAAAACAAAAAGTAGATCCCACTGGGAACAGTTTACCACAAATGAAAATACAAACCCAAGAGGGTGAAAAAAAATGAAAGGCCTCAGGTGTTTCAACTGTAATAGAGGGGATATAAAGTCATAGTGCTGGTGGTTGAAGAAAGGATGTGGTAAAAGAAGCTAAATCAGGGGGATTAGTTGAGGTAGTGAAGGAAATCCGAAGAGAAGTCGAGGAGCTGTAGAAGAGTGCACAGCCTATTCAAGGGCCGGATAGTAGGATGGTGCCGATCTTTACAAAGATGTCACCTCTGTGGGTAAGGTTTACTCAGGAAGAATGGAGAGAGAAGGTAAAGAAATTAAAATATTGACAGATGTTGACAGCTGGTCTCTAATGGTAACAGATGAAAGTATTTGCAGAGATAGTAGGAACTGCCGATGCTGGAGAATCTGAGATAACAGGGTGTAGAGCTGGATGAACACAGCAGGCCAAACAGCATCAGAGGAGCAGGAAAGCTGACGTTTCGGAGAAGGGTCTAGACCCGAAACGTCAGCTTTCCTGCTCCTCTGATGCTAAAAGTATTTACACTCCTGAAATGTTACCTGAGAGAGTGATAATCAGTGGAATAAATGGAGGGAGATTTAGCATTCCCCTGTAAAATAAGGCTGGAAAGTCCAATCGAAATTGGGGAAGTGACAGAGGGAGTGATTGAAAGATGTCTATTCCAGGAATACAGTTTGTTCTTGGAAAGACCCAGCTGGATCAAAGGTGGGAGTGATGACCTTTGTAGTGGAGAAGTCAAAAGAAAACCAGGGAACTGAAGAGTTAAAAGAAAAACACCGTGAAATTTTTCCAGACTGTGTGGTGACAGATCCCACAGTCATAAGTTAAAGCAAGAAGGGGAAACTAAAGAGAAAGATGAAGGAGTTGAGCTCCAATTAGCTGACACCCTGTTTGATGAAATGGCAAAGGAAAAACCTGAACAGGTAGACAATAAAGTGAATATCAGGGATTTTCTTTCATTTAACCATTCCTTTTTAACAGATCAGGAGAGGTGAGGCGAGCTTCTCTGGAGGTTTAATCATTAGAAGGGGACCTCTACTCCTGCCGTAACAGATTGGGGCTTGTGTTTTGATATTAATTATCAGAGGGGTTTGACCTCCCCTTCCTAACAGTCCTATTCATTATTGTATATTGTGAACAGCTGAAGTCCCAGCACTGAACCCTGTGGCACCCACTCATCACTGCCTGCCACTCTGAAGGAGTCCCATTTATTCCATTGGCTTCCTGTCTTCCAACCAGTTCTCTATCCATGTCCATACGTTACCTCGGATACCATGAGCTTTAACTTTCTTTACTAATCTCTTGTGTGGAACATTGTCAAAAGCTCTTTGAAACTCCAAATACACAAGATCTACTGATTCACTATTGTCTACTGTGCTGGTCACATCCACAAAAATTCCGGAAGATTTGTCAAACATGATTTCCCTTTAGTGAATCCATGCTGACCAGGACCAATTCTGTCCCTGCTTTCCAAATGTTCAGTTATTACATCCTTAATGACTGACTCCAGCATTTTCCCCACCACTGATATCAGGCTAACTGGCTTATTATTCCCCATTTTCTCTCTCCCTCCTTTTTTAAAGAGTGGAGTTACATCCGCTACTCTCCAGAACTCTTCCAGAGGCTACAGAATGCTGGGAA